CCACAGTATGACAGCAACTAACTGTATTAACACTTACTAGAAAACAAAACTAAAATGCATTTCTGACCCTGACAGCAAACTCATAAAAAGTCAAGGAGACTGTGACAGCTAGTCAAAGCTGTCAGGCTCACTGCATACCAGGGCAGGTCTAAAGTGGAGACTTCTGTGCAGCTCTAAAATCTCTGTGTTGTGAATTGGAGACCATCTGGCAACACCATGCTTGTTTACTTTCCTCCAAAGCCCTCCCAAACTCTGCTTTTCCTTCATACAGTATTTAATGTATTATATCCAACATTTAATACAATCACATTGTGCTTGACTGCTGCAATTTTGCATAAGCAAATGCTTACTTTCTCATTAAAAAAAAAAATCATTGTCTCTCTCTGTGCCTTAGTTTCTTCATAGCTAAAATGAGGTACCCAGGAAGGAATTATCTCTACAGGTCCATCCCGTGCTTCTAGGATAATGGAAGACTAAAATATGCAAAGGTAATAAGTGAAAATTGAATGAGTACTTGCCAAAGGACTTACAGTAAATATTGTTTAAAGATATAAAACTTTGCACAAAAACTACTTTTGTTAGTGGCTGGTGGATTTTGTTTAAAATGTCATTTTTACAAACATACACGTGAGTCAGGAGAAATAGAGAAATGTGTTGTGCACACCACCCTTTGTTGTTGTATTGGAAGATAATATGTCAAGCTCTTCATCTAACTAAAGTGCAAGGGCTCTTTGGAAATAAATGACATGGCTACTATCTACCATTTTCGTCATCACACTAAAATGAAGCATGAAGTTGATCTCATGTCAAAGTGGTTTTCTTGCTAATGTATGATCCTTATAATTTGCATTGACATTTATCAAGGTCATCATAATCTTGAATTAAATGCCTGAAAAGTTATATTGAGTCTGTTTTCAGAGCATGCACATTCAGTGGTGTTCAGGTCAAACTATTTAGTCCATTATAATAACTGAGATCTAAACAGGTGACCTGATCTGCCTAACTGATTCATTGAGATAAGTGAAATATTTAAATGTGATCATTAGCTTAATAATCAAATCAATTCCCTGCTCCTTGAGTTACAAAATGGTAATTAAGGAGGAAGAATACAGCTTTGGAGAACTACCTTTCCATGCTTATTATAAGCCCTTTATTTAAACTGTCAGGTATTAAATATATATTAAGTCAAAAATAACATCTGATCAATAATATTTTTGAGTTATGGCATACCGTAGTAAAACATTAATGCAATTTTTCATTTGCTTGAATAACCTTAAGTACATAGCACAGTTTGAGCATTGTGAAACCTGACCCAAGCTTCCTTACCCTGGTGTTATTTCCATTTCTTGTAAATCCCACCACACCATTTTCAGCAATGTGGGGTTATTTGCCAAACTAGCATATTTCCATTATAGATGTAAAGTTGTCTACCTATGTTATAGGAGAAGCTATTAGATATTTCGTTTTCCTTAGAACATTTTGTGAGACTTTAAGAGGCCCATGTAAACTCATCTACAATTCTGGCAAGCTACTTTTAGCAAACAAAGAAGCATGAAGCAGTATATAGACACTACCAACAAACTATATTTTTAAATTATCTGTAGTTGAGAGTAAGCTTATGCAAAGCATTATTTTCAGGAACTTGACATACATTTGATAATTCTGATTGTGCCTGAAATAGGGGTTATTCACACAGGTCACATAATCCATTTATTAGTCTGTCTGATTTGTTGTTAGTGTGCTTTTTAATGTCATCTGTGTTTATGCTGCAAGGGCTGTCACTGAAGTGCCTTGCTTATGTTAATTGATAAAAACTAAATACTTCCCACCATCCTAACCCTTTTTGAAAAACAAAGCACTGACATTCCTAATTAATTTAACTTTAAATAATATATTGGCTAGATATTAAATATTTTAACACATGGTTTGGTCACGTGGTACTGAATTTACTACACTGCTAACACTAAATCTAATAGACTAATGTTAATATTATGAAAATAAAGTGTTATATGTCAAAAATATTTAAATGAGTGGTAAAGAGAAAACAGAGTTAGAAATGTCACCTGAATTATAATAAAAATTATAGGAAAGCTGTAACAGCTTTATGATGATTTTTCCTCTTAATAAATAGCTGAGAGAGGAAAAAAAAATAGTATGTAGGATGACAGTGCTATCTTTAAAGCACACAATGTCATAATGAAAATGTTTTAAATTAAGAAATTGCCTAGGGGAAAATATAATGATAATTGTGATTTTTTTTTTCTTACAGGGAAAAGCCACATAAAATAAATGCTTTATTTTCAAATAAAATAAAATGTTTCAAATAAAGCAAAAAGTATATATGTGCATTTATAATAATTCTTATTAAATTTAAAATAAATCACCTTCATATTAAAACAGATAGTTTTTAGGTTGTTAGAATGCGTAATTTTTTATATATTAGATTACAAAGGCAAGGAAATGACTGCATGAATGAAACATGGTCTGGACATTAAGTTTTAAAAATTCTTATTGTAATATGTCAAAATATCTATTTAATCTTCCTCAATAGCCTGTACATATATCTCAAGCTTTTCTTTTTGTGATTAAAGTGACCAATACATTTAAAAAATTACTAATTTTTAATAAATTAAATTATTAATTTATTGTCTTATGCAGTATATTATTACTAACCACTACAAACATAAAGAGAAAAAGGAAAGAAAGTACTGTGCAAAAGGACACAAAGTTGTATATCATGAGCTCCATTAAAAACCTACATTTAAATCTTAAAAACGTTTGCACCAAAGGAAAAATAAATGGTGTTGCCTCGCCATCTCTCACCGGGCAGCCTTGCATGGTTTTCATTTGCTTTATTTTAATCCTTCATTTGGACAGGAACCTCTTCACTGTTTTCTCTCATGCTTTTTTCTCTCTTGCCTCCCACTCCAGCACACATGCACCCAAACACACACACACACTCTGTTCCTGTAGACTCTGCAGTCAAAGCTACCACATCGTCTCATTTTCGTAAGACTTGCAGACGTCTGCCAGTGTCTGATAGGAAATGCTGACTGAGAAAGGGTTGATCTATTTTTCATCCAAAATACGTGAACCATTAAGGAAATTACAAAAAGCAGCAACAATATACTCTGGTTTTATTCAGAACCTCTCCCTTAATGATTATTAAAAGGGTGATATTTTTAGCCAAAGAAAGCAAAATGCATCTGCAGCAGCTGGTTTCCAAGGAAACAGAATAATTTAAAACCATGTGGAACTCTGCTCTCTAATTTTCATCAATTCCCCTTCATTCCTGGAGGTAGCTTTACCCAGAATTTATAATTTCTAAAAGAATATAGCTGCATTAACTTATTTCCTCTAACACATTTCAGTAGGTGAATATCTGGTCTTATGTATCACCTTGAATTCCAGTGTGGGGGATGGATTAATTTCAACCATCATTTTGCTTGAAAAACAAATTCAGAAAAATCCATCGATAATAGGAACATGGCAAAATTTCAGTGTTATGTAATGATTTTTGAAATCCAGAAATAGTTCAAAATAAACTATGCAAGAGTATTTGCTTGGGTCAATATGACATCTAGTGTAAACATGCTATTAACTATGTTTAGTACATTTAGGAAATTTAAAGTACTTCTACATTCATTTAGATAATTTTTACCACATATTCAGTAGTTTTTCTTTCCCACTTAATTTTGCAACAACTATTATGCTTGTCTCTTTACTCAAAGATAAAATTTCTCAAATAAAAACACTTGAAAAAAAACCCAGCAAAAACAAGATTAAAAAACTTAGAAATTATATATAGTTATTCCTAATAATTTATGATTCATTCAAAAAAGTATTAATGATACATATATGAACACATTATTTACAACACTGAAAGACTTTTATTATTATATTCAACAGGTATTAATTGATTGACATGTAACCAAGTCAGTATATTTCCTAAAAGCTCAATTTTCATGAAATTCCCCAACCCTTAAATGACCCATATTTATTAATTTAAATATTAATAGAATTAAAGGACTTGGAATAAAATCGTTTCTCGTAAGTCTTTAAGTGTGTCATTTATTGTACTTATTCAGAACTCTGCCCTATTTTCCCCAAAGAAAAGACAATGTCAAGAGACCTAAAGCAACGAGCAAAGTAAAATCTTAACTTTAGAGCTGTTAAAAGAATATTTCCTTGGGGACATTACCAACAATATAAATGCTGTGATGAAATTCCTATCTAGCTATATTTGATCGACAAATGAAACTACCAATGAAACTTGCCTAAGATGCTATTTTTTACAACAATGTTTAATCCTTCACAATCAGGTTCCTGAGCTTTTAAAATGAAAACGGTCTCACATGATAAACATAGATAGACGGTGGTTTAGTTATCACATAAGCTTAAAATTTACTGAGTAAAATGACACAACTACTTAACAGCATGAGATTCATCAGGAGGAGTAAGTCAAATAAAGGGCTTAAATGCACACAAATCATTCATTCTAAATTAATGCTAAAAAAAGTTTACGACCGGCAGAAACAATTTTCCTAAGCCATTTACCATATTGTAAATACTAAAAGTCACCACGTGAAATTTTATACTGTATATTGGGAGAAGGCTCCATTTTCTCAGGACCTGTGGAATTTACCGAGCTTTTTCATCCTTCCCGTGATTTCCCAATAACATAAGCTTGAATAGAAACAAAAACAGACACATGATGATTCATTCTATCTATTAATTTGCTTTGACTACATTTGCTTAGGAAGTTATCCAGGATAAGACATGTCTCTGGCGTTTTTTTTTATCAGCTAAGGGTTTTGCAGGGAGAAAGAACAGCTCAATGCAGAGCTTCCTCAAGTCATGAAAGGGGCACGCTTTCGGAAAACGTCTTCAGAATAATTTTCATATTATCAAATCGTTTTAGTAAGAATCGAGAAGCATTCTCTCTTAAAGAAAAAAAAAAGAATTATCTATTCTTTTTTATGTATTTTATGTTCTCTTACCTGTAAATATGGTTTCTGTACTTCGGCTCCGTCAGAGCACACTGAAGAGTTCACTCCCCCTCGTCCATCCATCAGGCGGCAGCCAACCAATAACAAAAGCCAGATCCTGGCATTCTCCAGCTCATGCTCCCTGCTTTGCTTCCAGTCCTTGTTCCCTCCCACCCCCACTCTTTTAGAGGACAAATCCCTGCAGCTGGGAGAGAGGAAGGGAGTGGAGAAAAGAAACATGGAGAGAAAAGCAGAGATAAAAGATATTTCAAAGAATAGCTCCAAACTATGGAGCATGTCTGCAGGTGACCTCATCTGAAGTAAAATGTCTTGCTTTGGGTATAGAAAAATAGGGTTAATATATGCCTCACCCACCTGAAATCAAAGCAAAATACTCTTGGTTAAACCTAGGAAAATTGCTTATTTATTCAGCTCCGACTGATTTTTCTTAGTGAAAAAAATTTCCCTCCTTTGATATAGGCAGATAGAGGAGGGAGACTGAACACCAAGATAACATTATACATATTCAGTTTGCACAGAGAAAAAATGAATCGAAACCCTTTACATTGATGTCTTATACTATTTGCGCTACAACCTCTCTTTGGCAATGTTTTCATTCCAAACCAGTTTCAGGGCCTAATCGGAATGAAAAATATATTTCATTCTGAGTATCAGAATATTCAAATTTCAAGGTTATGTGGTTTGTATTAATTCAGATTCCTTAAATGCCAGCATCGATTTGTGAATAATAGAACTTGTCAAAGACTAAAAAGGGATCAGGCACTTGGTTGCTATGTCTCAAAATGACTAACTGAACTCCAATTTTACTCTAATAACCCTAGGCAAAATCATTTCACTTCTGAACTAAGAGGTGTAACAGATATAAAAGGACAGTTGAGAAAGACATCAAATTAGAATTCTTTAAGGCATCAAAGCAAATTCATCTGCGGTTTCAAGGAGGTTAATTTAAAAAAAAAAAAACTAATACAAATCGGGGCTCTTTGTGATAAAAATGTTATTAATTGAGCTTCCTGTAATGAAGGTGGTCTGAAAAAGTTTCCTTAGGAAGATATAAACTAAACAATGGATGTCATCTCTACCATAAAGGTATGTACTGTGTCTACTTGAGATATTTATAGGCTCTGCTATTTAATTTCTTAAATCAGTAATGTGTCCTCATGGAAATAAGAACAAAGGGAGAAAAAAAAATAGAGAGAGCAAGCAAGTATTTTTTATCTCTGAGTAACTGCCACAAGGGCAAATCATTCGTAGTTCAGGAATAACTAAACAGGAAAGACTTAGGGGTATCAATTCTGTTAGGTGGGGAGTGTGGCTGGTGACTTAATTTGAAACTGACTTTAGTTAGACATGCACTGATTTTGTTGAGTTTGCACTGTCATTTGGCATGGTTTTGAGAGGCTCTGCTAGAGTTTATGGGGAAAGTTAACCTATCCCTTTTTCCTACTCACCAAGCCCTCTGTTAGGGAAAATGCTTTCAATGCCCCTGTGGTCCCATTGCTAGCAATAGCTGGAGAAACCCCTGGGACAAACAGCATTTTCTGAAGTAGCTGTAGGGGGCAATCTGCATCAGAATCAGTGGGGAAAGGCTTATTAAAAATGAAGGTTTGTGGGCCTCACTGCTGACTTAATAAATCAGCATTTGAAGAGGTTTATGACTCAGCATTTTTAGCAAGCTTTCCCAAGCGATTTTAATGCCAACTATGCTGTAGACAAAGACTTGTAGAGAAGTTTTCCCTGAACACAATTTCCCTAAACAGATTTCTTATGGTTAGATGATGTTGCCATTGACTCGGACAGAAAAAAGAAAAAGGGGGTTAGGGGCAAAATAACAAATTTAGTTTGGATATTTTGAGTTTGGGGGATATCTAGATTGAAATATTTAAGTTGTCAGTTGAACTCATGGATAGGTCTGAGGTGTAGGTCTAGTTTGGAAATCGCCAGCACTGAGGTATGGTTAAAGCAATGAGAGTGATTGGGATAAGGGATAAGACCCAAAATTTATAAAGAACTCATACAACTTAGCAGTTGAAAAACAAATAATACAATCAAAAATGGGCAAAAGACACGAATAAATATTTTTCCAAAAAAGACATAAAAATGGCCAACAGGTATATGAAAAAGTGCTCAACGTCATTAATCATCAGGGAAATGCAGACTAAAACCACGCATAGATACTACCTCACACCCATTAGGACGGCTATTATCAAAAAGCCAAAAGATAAGTGTTGGCGAGGGTGTGAAGAAGGGGGAACTCTTCGTCTACACTGTTGGTGAGAATATGGCTTGCTATCTCCGTTATGGAAAACAGTATGAAGGTTTTTAAAGAAATTAAAAATAGAACTACCATTCGACCTAGCAATCTCTCTTCTGAGCATATACAAAGGAAACAAAATCACTTCCTTGCAAAGATATTGGCATTCCCATGTTCATTGCAGCATTATTCACAATAGCCAAGATATGGAAATAACCTAAGTGCCTGTCGGTAGATGAATGAATAAAGCAACTGTGGTACATGCATACAAGTAAGATGGAATATTATCAATCCCTAAAAAAGAACAAGATCTTGCCATTTGCCACAACATGGATGAGCCTGAAGGACATTAAGCTAAATGAAATAAGCCTGACATTGCGGGATGTCGTTTATAAGTAGAATCTAAAAAAAAAAAAATTAATATTCAGAGATACAGAACAAATCAGTGATAACGACGGGTGGTGACGATGAAATGGGGAGATGTAGGTCAGAGGATACAAAGTGGCAGATATGTAAGATGAACAAGCCTAGAGATCTAATGTACAGCATGAGGACTATAGGTAGTAAAATTGTACTGTATATAGCATTCATGCTAAATTAGTAGATTTTAGCTGCTCTCTCCATCAAAACAAAAAAATGGGTAACTAATATGAGATGATGGATATGTTAATTTGCTTCACTATAATAACCATTTTACTATCTATATGTATCCATCGCATAACATCATGTTGTATACTTTAATTATACACAATAACATTTATTTAAAAAAATAAAAAAGGAACACCTTTATCAGAATTAAAAATTCAGACTATTGGACTCTACTCTATACCTACGGAATCAAGAACTCTGGAGTAGAGCTTAGGGAGCACCATTTCTGATAAATTTCCCAGCTAACTTTCCTTGTATATTTAAGTTCTCCACTCTAGTAAGAAAAGCGGGTTAAGAATAAAACTCTGAGGATTTACTTACCATTAAAGAACAAATAGGACATAGAATGCAGAAAAGATGATTAGGAGGAACAGTTAACGAGGAGGAGAATGTGGTACAGCAAAACCCAAAGGAGTGGAAAATTTCAGGAAGGGGGCCTGTCAAAGGCTGCGATGAGATCTAATACCTTGCTGTGAAAAGTGCAGTCTCCTGACATCTGCTCAGACATCCCCTGGGAGCGGGTTCTAGTGTAGAATCTTGAGCCTCACGCCAGTAAACAGAATCTCCATCTGCATTTCAACCAACCCCAAGTGAGTCACAGGCACACTTAAGTTTTAGAAGCCCTGTTGCCACCCATTGAATTTCACTTTTCTTTCTGGTGAACTGAGAGGGAGCCATTTCAGTGAGTGATTGGGGCACTGCAGGCAGACTGCAGTGGTTGTTAAAACAAATGGGAGATAAAGAAAGGGAGACAAGTTCGGTGTTTTGCATATATCCAGAACAAAGATCTTCCAGCACATTGCTCACCAGACCATCTCTTCAGTTTGGAGAAAGCCAGCGGAGCAGAAGCAGAAAGTGGGCCTTGCTTGGTGCTGCAGGTCTCCACCTTGGTTACCACTCATATGACAGACGTGACAGGAATAGAATAACAGAGACTGATATGACAGAGGGAGATGCTTTCCTAAGGAGCAGTGACAGTCGGACCCTTGACAACCATGTGGCTCAGCTGCATGCTGCCATACTCGCCTGAAGCAAAGGTAACAGACCTTCTGAGAGTGTGTCTGAGTGACTTTAAAAATCTCTCACAGCAAGGGAAATATTACAAAATCTCTAAAGGTTGAATACCACAATTAAAAAGCTGGAAAATGGAAACAACCCAAAAGAGTAAAAGAATTGTCTACCTCTAAGGAAGTCCAAAATTAGAGCAAGTTGTAATAGAAGGGGATTTCAGTATTTTATGTATTAACTGGGTGAAGTTTTCTCCATTGAGCTGCAGAGGTAATAAGGTTTTAGAATAATATAAATGACTACTAAGGAAATAGATGAGGCTTGGTACAGACCAACTAATTAAATAAAAAATCTTTATACCTAACTGGCGAAAGAGACTATCTGAATAAAACCTATATTTTTGAAAGTCAAAAATTTGCCAAGTGAATGGAATTAGGAAAATCTTTTTTTGCTGTTTTTGTTTTGGCAGCTGGCCGGTACAGGGATTTAAGCCCTTGACCTTAGTGTTATCAGCACTCCATTCTAACTAACTAGGCTAACCAGCCAGTCCCTTGAAAGTGGGAAAATTTTGAAGAGTGGCAGTCCAGATGCATCAAAAATTATATAGTTCAGAAACAAGAAGACCCTTTCAGGGAACCAAACTATTAAAGATAAAAGACCTTCAAATATGTTAAAGTAAGCTAAAGGATCCGTAGAACTATTTATGGACATTAAGTATTTATTAATGTCTCTGGTCTCAAAACATATCAAGGGATAAAAACAAAATCATTTTTCATTCAAGGAAGTCATTAAAGTATTCCTAAACTGGCTTTTGAAAGTGAGACTCAGAAGTATCAAATCAAAAGGTAATACAGAGCACTGACACTACTCTAGCCAATACATGGGAATAAATAGCAAGACTTGGTGGCAACCACCCAAGTATTTGTAGGGACTCAAGGATAAAATTTGGAACAACTAACCAAAATATTTTGCATGTTGCTATAAATTGCCAGGGGTGCCAGGAGACTAGGAACCCACAGTGTGACCTGTGCCCTTGTGAGAAGATCAGGATAATAATTAGACGGTAGGAGATGCTCAAAGATACTTCATAAAATCACTTAGGTGCTGATGCAAATTAA